AGAGTGTGTCTCACTTTAGAATCTACTCCTTTTTAATTTTTCTGCTAAAATTACTGTACAGTATAATGGTCATAATCAGTAGTATTAAGAGGTAGAGAATATTTACCGTACAGAATGTAGAATAAACTTTGTAGTTCTACTGCCCATGGAATTATATTAACTTTGTTACCCTGCCATTTTGAGGAAGTATTTGAATATTGTTTTTCCTTTTTAATTCTCTGCATAATTGTAGTAAAATCGAAAATAGAGAAGTAAAGGAATACTTAATTTAAATCCTTTTCATAAAAAAAGGACCTTAAGAATTGATGGGTAAACACTTACTGTTTTTCAGTTAATATATCTAAATATTTTGGGTATTGAATCTGAGTTCTAAAAAAAAAAACCAACCCATATGTTATTTATGTGTGATGTTTGTATTTTTTAGGTGGCAAGAAGGTTGGCATCAACCCCAAGATTAACAACTTAATGCCTGGCTATGAAGGTGCTAAATATGATCTCATATGGATTTGTGATAGTGGTATCAGAGGTAGGTGTGTGTTGTAATGTGCTGACTGTTATATTGCTCTTATTCCCTGTAGGCAAGCAGTTATTGGAGATTATTTTGACTGAGAATACAAGTAGAAATGAAAGCTGAAAATCTAGAAAAATATTTTCATGTTATAAAATGTTTAATTAAAGGTGAAAATCTCATTAAAAAAAGACTGTTTCCATTATACTTATTGCTGATCATAATAATAATGTTAATTGCTATTATTATTTTTCTGAAACTTTGTTCCTCCAAAATACTGTGCATCAAAGTATATGTGCTCTTGGTATTGGAAATAGAATGAGAATTAGTGCCTCTATACAGTAGTCTGCTAATGACAAAATTGCTCAATGAACTTTCTTTTTTTTCCTCTGTCACTTAGTAACACCGGACACACTGACAGATATGGCCAATCAAATGACTGAAAAAGTAGGCTTGGTCCATGGGCTTCCCTATGTTGCAGACAGACAGGGTTTTGCTGCAACCCTTGAACAGGCGAGTACAATGTTGGGTTGTCTTTTTGTTTGTGTTTTTTTTTTTTTTTTGCAAGACCTTGCTGACTAAAAGTTGTACAGTGCCTCTTGCACCTTTCAAGTGAAGAAATTTTTATTTTCAGCTCCAGTCACACTTCAAACGATCTAGGATAACTTTTAAATGCTCAAAAATTCTACTGTGGTGCTCTGATCGTTGACTCGATTAAGTTTACAATATGAACCATAAAGATTACAGGATTAAAATGGTGGATTTTATTAAAAAATTTATTAAAATTGAGGATCTCTTTCTAGTGCTTAGTCAGAAATGGCCATTAATTATCTTTTGTTGTCTGAAAGGGAACACGGAAATGGCCATGACAAGTCAAAGCAAAGTCCAGCTCACACAGTATCTTATATCCAGCAGAGACTGTAAGCAGAGCCTTTGAGGAGATTAGAACACAAGCAAGGCTTACATCCTGTTTTCCTGTAATACTGTCTTAACTTTCTGCAGCTTTCAGCAGAGAGACTTCCTGAGCAGGAAGTAGACTTGTATAGGACATTTACTGATCCTCAATATATTAGTATTTTAGTAAGAAGGGATTTCTTACATGAACCTTTCCATTCTTTCTTTGAGTCCATATAGATTTTGAACATCTATAACTGTCTTTACCAGGAAGTTCCGTAGACTTACTGTGTGTTACAGGAACCACCACCTTGTTCACTCTGACCCTTGTTCTTCTATAGTGCTATTTCATGTCTCCTAATACTTGTTTTGGAAGAGAAAGTGAACAGTTGATTCGTATCCACCATCTTCATATCATTCATTCTGTCCTATTCTCCCCTCTCTTCTTTATCAGTAAGTTCTTTTTTTGTAGAATGAAGAGATTGAGTTTTCTTGCTTGTTGATTGTGTCTCAAGGCATGTAATTTAATCTGCTATCTTTTATTCTAAGCTGGCATGTGTAAGGCATTTTGGCCCCAAGGCTAACTAATGTGTGTCAAAGGCAGAAATGTGAGAGATGAAAGTGCAGTGAAATTCAGTACTCCTTCATTGCATGGAGAGAGGACAGCTCGTGTGATTTTTTTTTTCTTTTTTTTTGTGACACAAAGTCTGAATCTCTTCTTACAAGAGAAGAGCAAGAAGCTATAGCACAAAGCTATTAGTACTGCTGTGCACTGCAGTAGTGGGAATTACAACTCACTTCTATATTCGTGGAAGAGCTTTTTGCTTCCAGATCCAGTATACTGCAAGATGAGCATGCCTTTTCTTGAATGAGTTACTGTATTATTAATACCAGTGTGAAGGCCATCTATAGGAAGAATAGTAGTGAGAGGTGCTAGCAGTTATTCTCGTTGTCTCTTTGTAGGACATTCCTAGTTTTAAGTTATTGAATTGTGCAAAAAGACTCACTCACAATCTGAATTTTTTCTTTGCTATTTCTGTTTGCAAGTACATTAAGTAAAAAAAATTCCCATGCTTCTGTACAGCCATATAGTAAGTTTCTAAGAACATGTATGCAGTAATGCAGTTAATCCTTAAAAGAGGAGGAAGATAACATGTCTGTTAACTATCACAAAATAATATATTAATCCTACTGACCAGTCAGGTACTTAATGGATTTTTAATATATGTATTCCCTGAGAACAACCTCAATAAATCAGAATTTAAATACCAAATTAAATACGGTGGTTTAATATGTGGATTTAAAACTCAGTTACAGATTTGTCAAAACACAGCCAATATCAGTAATAGATTTCTCAGATTTGGTGGTAGACTAGGTTTCTTAGATTGGTGGTAAAGATCTTTCCAAATACACTGTCATAACTGGCCATGTCTAGCACTTTTTTCCCTCCAGATGTTTTTGGAGAAAAAATTGTCAGTGAGTACTACTTGCATAAATACGTACAGAGCTTTAAAAGCCTTATCTTGTTTTGACAGGTTTATTTTGGAACGTCACATCCAAGGTCATATATTTCAGCCAACTTAACTGGCTTTAAGTGTGTAACAGGAATGTCATGCTTGATGAGGAAGGATGTCTTGGACCAAGCTGGAGGATTGATAGCTTTTGCACAATATATTGCTGAAGATTACTTTATGGCCAAAGCTATAGCTGACCGGTAAGATGACTCTGAAGTAAGCTAGTTGCTATAAGTGCAGTTTCACTTGTCTTCACAGGTCAGCTTCACATGTATACAGCAAACATGCTTATGACTTACGCTTTGTCCTATCAGTATAGGTTTTCAGAAATAATTAAGTCATATCATTGTCAATTCCTTTAGAAGAAAGTTTGAGAACTTGGTTTAAGTATTATTCAAGTGGTATTTGCTCTTTTCCAATGAAGAGACTTGATAAAATACACTTAATTTTTTTGCTTATACCCATTGTAATAATATGGCACATATTCAGAAAAAAGAAACTTTTCAAGCCTAATAAAATTCTTGGGTATTTGTTCTCTAATTGGTTTTTGCATCACTTATTTGCATGTTTTTTATAGTAATAAATTCATTTTTCAGGGGCTGGAAATTTGCGATGGCCACACAAGTTGCAATGCAAAACTCTGGTTCATATTCTATTTCTCAGTTTCAGTCCAGAATGATCAGGTAAAATTTTAATCTTTACTTCCTCTCCCACCCACCTCTGTCACCTGCTTCTGATGTGGATGGCCTGATAATGAGAAGGAGTCCTTTTTCCAATCTAATTTGTTCTACTGTGCAGAATGCTGAGGTTCCAATGCACAGCTTGATGCATGGTTCTTGTTAGTGTTGGGAGAAAGGCACTGGCTTTGCATGGAAGTATGACTGATAGTACTAAAAAAACCACCCAACCAAAAAAAGAAAAACCCACAAAAAAAACCAACCCAAAACCAAAAAACCCAACCCCTTAGTACTTTTTAAATGCTATGTGCAATATCTTTGAAAGGGAGAATTTTTGCAATATTTTATTTTGAGGTGTAAATTAAATAAGATTAAACTAACAATGTCAGGAAACACCATGATGGCTCATCATTTGATGAGGTGGACATAAAGAACAATGAGTAGTCAGACCTGACTTGTTTGTCTTTTCTAGGTGGGCCAAACTGCGAATTAATATGTTGCCTGCCACTATAATTTGTGAGCCAATCTCGGAGTGCTTTGTTGCCAGTCTAGTTATCGGATGGGCAGCTCATCATGTGTTTAGATGGGATATAATGGTATTTTTCATGTGCCACTGCTTGGCGTGGTTTATATTTGACTACATTCAACTAAAAGGTGTTCAGGTACGTAGCTTCATTTTCTTTGCAGGTTATTAAAATTATTAGTGCCATCTACTTCAATAAAAAGCTAAGTGTGATTATAACAAAATAATTCTCTTGACATCAAGGAAATAACAGGTCAAATCCTGTTACTTCTGAGTCTTCCAGCTTCAGTTATAGTAGCATGAAAAGGAGTAAGTGTGCTTGAGTGTAGTTTTGTTTTCTGTATGCACCTGCCTCTGTGTAGGCTCTGAAAGTTTGCATGTCTGTCCCCTTAATCTTCATGTTTCCAGTCTGCTCTGACTAGGCATATCCAAAAATTTTAGGCTTTTTTTAACAGTACAAGAAGAGCAGCTTTCTGGAATTTTATGGTTTTTTCTTTTATCTTAGTTGTCACTATGTCTTGTATTTATCGAGGTGTATATGTACCCTTTAAGTACATTTTTCACTTTATTTTTGTGATAATGGACTTACAGGACAGCTGTAACCTACTTCTAAAAATAAAGTCTTCCCATCACTAGAAGAGAAGCCTCAAAAAGCCTCTAATATGGAAAGATCTCACAAATCAAAACAGCAGTTGTTCTTCTAATGCTGTAGGAACTATTTAGACTACTTTCTGCAGTGACCATATTCCACCCAAATCTGATCCATAATTACCTGTGTATTGAAACTTATCAAATAGCTCATTCTTTTGGTAGTCTTAACACATATTTGAAATTAAAAAAAAAGTTAGGCCTTGTGTTGATTCTGTAGGACTCTGGAAGGTCAGTTTGACAGTCACCTTTGTGATTACTCTTCTCACTATGCGCAGCATGTAAAAGAGCTTTGTGCCTACTCTTCTTCTTGTGAAGCCTCTTCAATTTCCAGCTCTGCATCTGACTGGAAATTCTCAAAGGAGCATAAAATATAGACAGGCTATAATTTTTTTCTTAGTGCTGCTTTTCCTGTGCGGTAGGCCAAAGGCTTACATATTTGAATTTCACTCCTCTGGGAATGTGCAGGAGTATTCTATCTAGATGCGGTTCTTCTGGGGTCTGTGGCAAAAACCTAGTGTCTGCTTGAACACGATTTTGCTAACCTTCAAAAAGAAAAATGTGAAATTGTAACGCTTTCCTTGCCTTTTGCTCTACGTAAGTCTGTTTTCAAACCTTCTGGGTCATTCTGCCAAGCTCCTGATGTTTAATATGGGTAATAATATCTTGAACAGGAAAATGTTCTTGGCATATAAAAAAATACGCTATTGGTATCTAAATCTTTATAATAAGCTTTGGAATTGACTTATATAACACAAATGTCTTAAATAACTTTAAAACTCCCTTTGAATAATCAGTATGTTTAAATATTTGTTTTTTATATTCCTAGGGTGGTGCTCTGTGTTTTTCAAAACTTGATTATGCAGTAGCTTGGTTCATCAGAGAATCCATGACAATTTATATTTTCCTATCTGCTTTGTGGGACCCTACTATTAGCTGGAGGACAGGACGCTACAGATTACGTTGCGGCGGCACTGCAGAAGAAATTCTTGATGTATAGCCACAGCTTTGTTAACCATGAATGTCAAAAAGAGAGCAGGGAAGGGAAGGAGGGAGAACAGGAGGGAAGAAAAGTATTATAAATTGTTTATATAAGTACTTTTAAGAAAATCTACCTTCAGTAGTTTTGTTAACTTGTATGTTTTGGTATCTGTTCTTTAATTTATTTTTGCATGGCACTTGCATCTGTGAAAATACATCTGTAGTCTTGGCCAAACAGTACCTTGCTCCTATGTACAAATAGAAATGGAGAGAATTGGTCCTGACATCCACTTTCTATAGAAATGCTCTGCAGTAAACTCTTTTAAAAAAAGAAGTATCCTCCTGGATATGAATAGCTTCTTACTCCATGGTGTGCTGGCCTAGCAAATCCAGGGTTCATATAGCTATTTTCCAGCTGGGTTGTACGAGGCTGTACCTAGTAAAATCACAGAAGTACAGCTGATTTCTGTTTTATCCCACTAAATTGAGCTAGTAACAGGACCTTGGGAAAGAAGCTCTTAAATGCTTTATGCCTACCTCTTGTAGTTGCTGCAGAACAAAATGAATGGAAAGGTAAAAATGCTTTGCAAAAACAAACTAAAGTAAAGCTGGAGTCTTGTGTTTGTATGTATATATGAAATACTGTAGTCATTGCAATGAACCAAAAGTGGACTAAGTTTGATAGAATTGAGTCAGAATTGCTGGTCAGGCATGTATGTGGGCATCTTTTTGGCCAACTCTGATCTGGTTCTGTCTTGAACCTTGTTAAGCACTGTGCTGTAACTAGCCAAACTGGTCCCCTTCAATATTTCCATCCTTTTTTAAGGGGTGCTTGTTTTTCCCTGTGAGTGAATGCTTTGATGGGGGGAGGGGGTTGGGGGGGAGGGGCAGTGTGTGTGGAGGGAGTACACGGTAGGGGGTAGAAGGGAGCAGAAATACATTTCGGAAACATTTCACACGAGCTATTTTCTTATACATGTCTTAAGAATGTAATTTCATGATGCAGGTATTTAATATCTTTTTAAAGTGAACATACGTACCTATACTAGTCATAATTACATATTCCATTGCAGTAGATATTGTGAATATATTAAAGGACTGGGTGAGTTTGCTGTTTCCGATTAAAATTGTAAACTTAATTTAAATATCAAACTAAGTCAACTCTTGGCGTTTTGCCTTCTACTGTTAGTCTAGCCTTTAAATTGGACTTTTGTATTCCAGTGGTATGACTAAAAGGACTAGATTATAATGCATGCCGTGGTTTTTTCCAGTCTCTGCTCCCTGCAGCTTGGTTTCCAACCTCATTGTGAGACTTCCTAATTTGTGGTGAACTGGACTTGTTTTCTTTGAACACTTTAATTAAAAAAAACACCGCAAAGCTAGAGGGGGATGTTGCATAAGCCTTTTGTTTTCATAATTGTATTTATACTGCTTTACTTTTCTTCATATGGAATAGGATATTGTCAACATGAATGTGAGCTGCTAATTACAAGGCTAATGCCAACAAAGCAGCTTTAAAATTTGGATGATAATGTGTAGCATATCAGCAATAATGACATGTATTTATAAAAATGGACATTTTTACCTTACTGAGCCAATCCCTTACCTGTCATATGCTACACAAGTGTAATGTGTATGTATGTCATAAAACATACTCTGGGCCAAAATGCTTCATCTTCTTTTATCTCTTTTGCCTTATGATACCGTGGAACTATTTTAATGGGCATTTCTATATGAACAAAGGCTTTTGATGCATGCTTCATTCTTTTCATGTGAATCAGGAAGAAGCACTTTTCCTGAGGAAAGTTGCACACTGAAAGCTAGTCTAGTTGTGACCCACAAAAACATTCTGGTTTTAATATTGTTTTTTACATAGTTGAATTTTGCTGACAATGTTTGTGTCTTTGTTTCATGAAGTTTGATGCCATTCATTGCACTGCTGAAGTGAAGCTTAGCTTGCAACTTGGCTTTATGCTGATTTCTATGCAGGCAATGGAACAGAACCAAAAAAACCCAGACTTCATTTAAAAAATGTTAGGTGGGGATAATTGTTTAACAGGTGCTTCTGTATTAGTAGAGCCATCTTTGGTCATTAAAAATAAAGCTTCACTTTAACAAATAGTTTCATTTGGGTATTGTTTGGTTGATTATGAAATGGAAACCAACACTGTCAACAGTTGTAGACCATGTTGTAACAGAATGTCTGAAAGTTAAAAATGGCTAATGTAAAGTTGTGTTGATCCACAGATGTGTAGAATATACCATGTTTATTTAAAATCATTGTCTTGTTTTTTTCTTTTATTTAAAATAAATTTTGAATACAATCTGTTTGGAATACAGGAGTGTTTTGCCCTTTGTTCAATGATGCTGTAAGATGACAGCTTTAAGTATTTATGGCGGTTTTGATAGATTTGATTTCTAATTAATCTTCACAGCAATAAATGGATGTGCCTGTCTTTTGAGGTTTTTTTTACACCTGGACCATCTGTTTTGTATTTTATATTTTGCTGAAATTAATTCACATGTGCCTAGAACTGATTTTGATTTATCCTTAGTTCTTTTAGAAAAACTTCAGTGTATAGAAACCTCACAACTGAATGAAATAGTTCTGTATCTATTGTAACCAGACAGCCTAGATTCAGATTTTAGAGATGGGTATCTTTGCCACAAAACATGTTGAAATTGAGAAGTAGTGTTGATACTTTGAGGTACTCAACCAAGGTACTCAACTTTGAGGTACTCAACCAAGAAAGTACTCTGTGCTTGCTCTGTCTTCTGGCTTGGCTTTTTCTTGTATCGCCCTAACACTTAAGATTTTCATGCAAAACTTAATGAGAGACTGTGTGTATGAGAGTTGTTAGAATCTGGGAGGCGTGGCAGAAACAACCATCACTGGAATCACTTGAAAACTAGTTATAGAAACTTAAATATACCTGAGTATTATGTGCTTGATACATTTGCAGCCACAGAGCACAATACCTAAACCCGCTTTCCCGAGTCCTTTTACTATTTTCCTGCCTACTATTAAATAATGTTTTGATTTATTCTGTGCTTTCAAATGAAATCTTTCCCACTTGGAATTCCTTTCATTGCCGCTCCTCTGTCTCCTGATACTGACTGACTACCTGCATTTCCTCTCAGTCTGTTTTGTCAGCTGGAGAAGTTTGCTGCCTTCTAACCACCTGTTTTCATGTATTGCTTCTGAAAGCTGTTTCATTGATCTTAAAGGCTTATTTTAATCCTTACATCTGATTTCTGATCATCTGATTTTAAGGTGGGTTTGAGCTGCAGCCATTCTTGAGTTGATCTGGTTCCTCAACAGCTGTGACACTAATTCTGGCTATTGAGGCTAAGGAAACCTAAAGTTTTGTATGGCAATACATAAACTTCTTACAGTTATACAAAGTGACTTCAGCTTAAATACTCTCTAGGCTTGTCTAAATAATAGTGCTTGGTAGAGAAGATGACAGTGCATAGAATGGCAAAAATTTGAAAATCCAGCTTTTGGGTCTGAGAATGCATAAGCTGATTTCTAGCTAATTATCAGATTATACGGCATGGGTCTACTACTTGGATATTCGGAGTGAATGAACAAGTTTAAATAAAGGTGTTTTCTAGCTCTTCAAATAAACTAAACCCCATGACAGAACTATCTTGTAACAATGTGCTACATATCTGGGCAGAGGAGAACTTCCCCAGGGGAAGTCATCTCCACCTTCATGTTGGCTTTGGGGAAGGCATGTAGGATTCCTACCTTAGTGTTGTAGAATTGCCCTGGAACTCAAGTCAGTGATCTGGGATGTGTTTTAACAACAAAAAAAACCAATCCCAGAACAACATACAACCCTAAAAAACCCACAGAACCAAACCCCACTGGCTTTGTGTATCCTGTAGATCCAGAGTATTTGAAGTCAGACTGCTTTAAAGGTCATTACCTCTCCTGCACTGCACAAAAAAAATTTCCATTGACAGCTATCGGACAACTGAGAGTAAGGGATAGTTGTTATGGTTAAATTCCCCACATTCTGTTTTCACAGCTTATTTGTCTGGTCCTCAGAGTTTGAATCTTTCAGTGAGGAAGCAAAGTTTAATGAAGCACTTCAGGCCATCTTGGCCACTCCCATGTTTATGTTTAAGACTCTGGTTACCTTTTTTTCATGCAGAAAGGTGCTATTGGCTATTGCAAATCTTGGCTGAAAACGTTTCTTTTTTTTTGCAGCGGTTTCTACTGACAGCTGGCTCTGTTTTCTGCTATGAGTCCTGCATGCAGATTAGTGTCCAGTTGTCCCTTCAAATCCATCTTGTTCAGCTACAAGCAAACTAGCCAGTCTTGCAGATCCTAAGGCTTTGTCGATGTTCAGCTCTAACCTTGCAAGGTTATGTCCACTGTGTTTCCTTTTCAAAAACAAGTTTGAAGTTAGTGTCTTGTAAATGTTCTAACTATGCTGAAGTCCTGCAGTCTCTATATGGAAACAAGTGTGTCTAACTAGCCTCTTCAATGGAAGAAGTTTGTGATGCTTGTCTTTACACTTAGCTTAGGTTAAAATAACTATTCAGCTTATTCCTGTAAACTTAAGAGACTGTAAAAAAAGAAAGGTAGTATTTCTAATATTCTCCAATACAGCTTTTGTAATGCTTTATTCCTTAAATTCTCATCAGATGGGGAACAGGCAAATAATATATGTGGTTCATGCTTCTGGGGAGAATATGCTTAATCTTCTTGATCTTAATCGGCTCTAAGTATTTTTGCCTAAATGTTGGTGTGACTGTAGATGATCAATTAAGAGGTGCAAATCAGACACCTCTCAATAGAAGTTTGTGGATTGGTGCTTGTTTCTGTCTCATCCCTCCACAATCCGCCCCCCCCAGCTCTTTTTGCCTGTTGCTGACAGGAAGGAAGGGCCTCAGCCAAGCCCGTGTGCCAGCTGGAATTATTGGCCATTTTGTGTGTGGTCAGCTTGTGAGTGAATGGGAGAGGTCAGGCTCATGTGCCTGTGCTGGAAGCCAGTAAGCTCACTGGAAGCATGAAACAGGAGCTGTCAAAAGAAATCTCTTCACTGGGCT